TTGAGGTACAGAGAGGCAACTTTTTCAAGGTTGTGCATCAGTATGTAGTGGGCACCAGGATTTGAATCAAGGCCATCTGGCTTAACTTGAGTGGAGGCTGAGAACTGCCTCCTATCTGGAGTGAATTAACACATACCAGATAGTGATTCGTTTATTCAACAATTCCTATAAGCCAAGGTGGAGTTATAAAACAGACTAAAATTCCTACCCTCATGGAGTTTACATTCCAGTGGGAAAACAAGAACAATAACCAGCCATGCAAGCAAATTCTCTGGTACATGAGATAGTGATAAACCATGGCTTCTGGTATTTGGGACAGAGATATAACAGAGAAATGGAGGGAGAAACAGTAAGGGGGGAAGAGATTATTGCAGTTTTATTTATTTTGGGGGTTTTTTTTAAGATTTTATTTACTTTTGCAAGAGAGAGAACGAGCATGAACAGAGGAGAAGCAGATTCCCCACTGAGCAGGGAGCCCGATGTGGGGGTTGATCCCAGGACCCTGGGATCATGACCTGAGCCACCCAGGCGCCCCCCACAAGGGCAAGAATTTTGTCTTGTATCCCAGAGCTTAGTGTCTAACGTGTAGTTGATGCTCAAAAAAATACCAAATGAGTAAATAAATGAATGCAGACAGACATGGTCTTTGCCTTCATGAGGCTTACACTCTCAGGGAAAAGACCAACAGCTAACATGCAAAAATATGTCATTACAATCCGAGATGTGCAGTCTAAAGAAAATGGGGGAAATGTTGTGATAAATAATTGGGGAGGACATTCTACTTGAGTTAAGGGGGTCTGAGAGGGATTTCCTGAGTAAGTGAAGTGGTAATATTTGAGCTGGGACCTGAAGTAAGGGAAGGAGCCAGCAATCAGTGGGGAGGGACACAGCAGCCAGAGAGGACAGCCTGTGCAAAAGCAGGAGCTGGTGTGTTTGAGGAGTAGTCAGGCCAGGGTGGCTGGAATGGAGTGGGGAGGAAAGAAGAGCCAGATACAGCTGGAGAGGCCGGCAGGATCGGGAGGGCATACAAGACACTATGGCACTTTGGGTTAAACCCTAAGAACAGTAAGAAGCTATTGGAGCCTTAAACAGAATAAAATTACTTTATTTTTTTTTTTAAGTCTTCAGATGAGCCAAGTGGATAATGGACTGTAGAAATAGAGACCCACGGATAGATGGTTCTAACTAGTGGACAGTGACACCGGATAGAGCCTAGGATTTCAAGGTCTATCTAAGACCTCCCTGTGTCCTGCCTCCACTGCAGGCTGGCTACTCACGGAGGGGGGGCACTAGTGAGATTGGCCTGCACCTGGAGGAGGCAGGGTGGAAGGTTTCTGGGCTCTCTTGTGAGCCCTGATGAGCCGGAGAAGGGGCCAGACAGAGAATTTGAGCGAGAATCACAGGGAGAAAGAAGCAAGAAAAAGTTGATGGGGAAGAAACAGATAGATACAGGAAAAGACAGGAAAGACTACCCAGAACAAGAAACTCAAGGAGAGAAATCCATTAAATAGAAGAAACAACTAAAGGTGATGCTGTTTGCAGAGGACTCCTGTGAGAGCTTGGTGACAAGAGTTTACCATTGATCCCATGTTTCTCTATGTGGACACTGAGGCTCAGAAATTATGTGGCCCTTGTCCACTTTCCCGCAAAACTAGTAAATGATAGGCCCAGGATTCAAATCTAGACCTGACCAACTCCACACCCCCTCTTGCTCTTTTTGCTGGAGAAGACTACAGGGCAGACACCGTCATGGGAGGAGAAGGAGAACATGAGCAACAGGTGGACAGATGAACACTGCTTCACTTGGAAAAGATCAAAGACTTCCAGAAGCCTTGAGTGGCCTGGAGTGACCTGCCTAAATCTAGGGGAAAAGGAGACAGCACCGCAGACAGGGCCAGGCCGTGAGGAAATTCAATTACTTTCAACTCATGGAATATTTATGACACCTACCCTGCGCCAGGCCCATATTGGGTGCTGGTGTCATGGAGATGCGCCATACATGACCCACTCTTGCCCAGAGGGGGAAGTGGACACGTAAACAAATAAGGGACTGTGTCCTAAAGGCCATAACACCAATTCAGAGAAAACACAAAGGCAGCAAAGGTTGACTCAGCCTGGGGAGCTGGAAAACAACACCAAAGAAATGATATCTGAACCTGGAATTTCCGAGGAGGACAAGGCCAGAAGAGCATTCAGGCAGAAGAAGAAACGTGAATAAAGATACAAGACATGGAATTGCTCAGAAAGGTGGGTATCAGGTGCTGTTGGATCATGGGCTACGCTATAGCAGGAGATAAAAACAGTGTGGGACTCAGAGTGCAGAGGCTATTGAATACAAGGCATGAAAAGTAGACTTGAACCCCTCAATCAGTAGTTCTCCAACTATGCCTTTGGGGAAACCGAGGGACTCCTTAAATTAAGCTGAGGGGTTCTGCCACGGAATTAAAACTATAGCCCTCTCTTTCTAACTTGCAAGAAGGTAACTTAATTACTTTGAAGAGAATTTTCTTTGTTTAAAGTGCTTTTCCTCCATATACTTTTCTAAAGATTTTAGCATATGGCAATTGTGCTAGAGATTAACAGAGTCAGTATAGAATCACTGTTTCATTTTGTTTTATTTTGTTTTGTTTTGTTTTGTTTTTTTACAGTTTTAACTTTAGCATGTCAGTAGCTCATTATGTTCTAAAAAGAACTGTGGCTTCTGGATCTAAGTATTGGGGAGTCACAGAAGGACTTTCAGCAAGGAAAAGAAAATCTGATCTTTCTGTTTAAAAAAAAAAAATCATTCTGGAGGTGTCTGGCTGGCTTAGTCGGTAGAACATGAGATTCTTGACCTCAAGGTTGTAAGTTCCAGCCCCATGTTGGGTGTAGAGCTTACTTAAAAATAAAATATTTTTAAAAAATCATTCTGGAGGCCTGAGGAAGAAGGAAAGGGAAGGGAAAGGGGGGAGAGGATTTCAGTTAGGAAGAAGGCTGCTGACACAGTTGATGTCCTGGACTGAAAAGGGGGGCTATTGGGATGAATGGGGGGACTAAGTCCAGTCTCCAGGAGGCAGACTTACTAGATGATTCTCCAGGATTTCCAGCCAGGCTGTCCAGGGAATTCAGAGGAACCAATTTGGTAGAGAAGCTAATGTCAACAGCTCAAAGTCACCTAGAGAGTCTTCAACAGAAGTAGATCTATGTGTCACAGTGAAAACAGAAGGTAAGCAAAACTGAGTATTTTGTGCATGTGCGTGTGTGTGCGCCCATGCACATGGGCACTCACATAAGTGTGGGACCAAGTCTTTGCCCCATCATGGGACATCTACTTTCTCTAATAATAAAAACAGGTATAAACATTTTTTGAGCACATAGTATGAGCCAGACCCTAGTCTGGGTGTTTTACATATATTTCCCATCTAATCTTCACAATAACCTAATAACATTTATCAAATGCTTTCATGTGCCAAGCATTGTGCTAAATGCTTCAAATGAACAATAGCTCACTTGATTTTCACAAGAGCCTCAAAACAAATACTATTATTTCCTTCATTTTAAGGATAAGAAAATGGAGACACAGAGAGGCCAAGTGACTTACCCAAAATCAAATGGCTGGAAAAGGGCAGAGTCAAGACTCAATGTCAGTTCTGCCAGAATCCAACCACCTGCAGCTTTCATCAGAGCACTTTGCTTTCTTCTCTTCCTCAGAGAAAAGGCCTTGAGCTGGCGGCTGTGGGTCAATAAAATCTAGAGAAAGGTACTCTTCCTTATCCTTCAAAGCTCTGGCTCAGTGTTTGTCTAAGCTAGTTTCCTAGGCCACCTGCATCAGGATATTCTTGAAAGCTTGTAGGAATTGTAGATTCCTGAACCTGTCCCCAAATTCTAATTCAGTAGACTCGAGATAGGACCTCAGGTAAATTTTATGCATACTGAAGATTTTGAGTGAGACAGTTTCCAACAGCACCTCCTGCAAGAACCCCCACTCCACCCTGTGGCTCCTTCCAGAGCACCTTTCTCCTCTAGATTCCAACAGTGTCCTCTGTCCTATTCTATCAACTAGGGTTTAGCTATCTATGTTCCTGTCCTACAGCCAATAAAAATATGATTTAGTGTCTTTACTGGGTTACATCTGCTTACAAAGCACTTCCACTCTCCCACTAAATCCCTTCTACAATGTAAGCATTTTGAGAGGGGGCCCTCCTCCTTGTGATACCTCCTTTATATCTGAGCACACTTAGCATTTTACAATGTGCTCTTCTATCCACAACGTCACCCTATTGTTTCATCCAATCCTCACCACAGTCTTGAAGGAGGTATATTGTCCCCCAGTGTACCCATCAGAAAAGAGCCCGAGAGCTTCGGACACCTGCCCAAGGTGGCCAAGCTAGGAAGCACAAGGACTAGGAGTTGAACCTAAATCTTCTAGCTCCAAGCCCAGGGCTCTTGCCTCCACATCAAGTTAAATCTACTCTATTCGGTGGTAGGGAAGTAAACTTTGCTTCCCTATGCTGTTACAGGATAGCAGGGAATAAATGAGGTGATATCTTAAAAGTTCTGGCACAGTGAGCACTCCATAAACGATGGGGAGAAGAAAAAAACTGAGGTCAGGGAAGGGTAAATGACTTCCCCCAAATCAAACACCAAGTCGCAGACTGTAGGCACAGCTCCAGGCCGGTCTCGGACGCTCCTACTTCGCAGAACAACTTGGCCAGCCCTGAGTCTCCACGACTCCCTCCGGTACTTCCAACCCCCCATCTCACTCCCCAACCCCCGCAGTCTTCCGAAGCGCCACCGCGCGGGCAGCGAAGGTAGGGCACGAGTTTTTAAAAAGAGCAAGAGGCGTGGCCACACGGCGGGGCGGGGCGGGGCGGAAGGCGGGGCGCAGGCGCGCGGGCGCGGGCGCGGACCGATGACGTAGAGCGCTGTCAGGCTCTGAGCTGTCTGCGGGAAGCATGTGGGGCTGCGGCGCGCTGGTGGGGGCGCGAGCCGGGTCGCGGGTGCCGCACGAGCTGTTCCTTGCTTGGCACCGCGGCTGGTCTGCCGCAGCCCCCTACTCCGCATCTGCCGAGCCCTCCCGGGTCCGGGCGCTGGTCTATGGGCATCACGGGGACCCAGCCAAGGTCGTCGAGTAAGAAACGGCGCCGAAACGGGGCCATGGGCCAGGGGTTACTGGAGGGGGTTAAGACGCGCTGTGAAGAAGGGGGGTCTTGACCAAGGAGGGAGCGGGTGGGGCAAGAAGGCCGAGAATAACAGGACCCAAACTGAGCCCAGGGCGCTTTGGGTAGCTCAGAAAGTCGGTACTTCCAGGTGGTTGAAGGCCAGAGAGGCACAATTTTGACGGTAATCGTGGCTTTTTTTTTTTTTTTGGAAGTACAAGTGACATGCAATTTTAGATTAGATTTAGGTGTACAACATGATGACTCGATATTTGTATGTATTGCGAAATGATTGCCACAGTAAGTGCAGTTAATATCTGTCACCATACCAGCTACAGAATCTTTTTTTCTCCTGATGAGAACTTTCAAGATCTACTCTCTTAGAAACTCTCAGACATGCAGTACAGTATTACTAACTGTAATTGCCAAGCTGTACGTTAGGTCCCATGATTTTCTTATTTTATGACAGGAAGTTTACCGTTTGACTCCCTTCACCCATTTGGCTCCTACACAACACACACACACGCACACACACCACACCCCACCCGCACCCCCAGCACTAGTCTGTTCTTTGTATCTGTGAGGTTGATTTTTGTTTTAGATTACACTTGGAAGTGAGATCATTCAGTATTGGTCTTTCTCTGACTTTATTTAATGCAGCATAATGCCCTCAGCATCCATCCATGTTGTTTCAAGTGGCACGATTTCATTCTTTTTTATGGTTGAATAATACTCCATTATTTTATATATCTAATAGGTAACATTGTTATGGACATTATTCCACTACTATACATATATATACACACAGATAAGTATACACACACACACACACACACACATATAAATATGCCATTATACCTGTTTATACCACATTTTCTTGATCCATTTATCCCTCAATGACTTTTACTGACTGGGTATTATATATAAGGCACATAATGGATGTATCCAAATGGATGCTCTCATTTAATCGTCCCTTTTGGAGAAGGTACTTGATTTAGCCCCGTTTTGTCAGAAAACTGAGGTGTAAGGTAAAATCACTTGCCCAAGGTCACACAGCCAGTTAGTGGCAGAGTCGAAATTTAAACCCAGGTCTTACCGATTTGCTTGAGTTCCTAGGCAGTATTATTATTATTATTATTGTTTTGGAGAATATTTTCTGAATGCTTTTATGTCCACTTGAATCTTCGCTTCCCAGAAAGTAGGTGGGAGACCATTGTTTTCAGTTTGCAGAAGATAAGAAGGGACTTGTCCAAAGTGATATAGCTAATAAGTATTGAAATAGGGACAGGAACCCATAGCATCTACTCCTATCTCGTGTGATTTCCTGTCTGTCATACTATATATGTGCCTTTAGCCAGTCAAAGAGTTCCTCTTTTGGAGCCTTACAGACCTAAAGTCAAAGACAGACTCCACCTCTTCGTAGCTGTTTGATCTTACACAAGTCACTCAGCCCTCTAATCCCTCATTAATTTTACGAATATGTTCTAACATTCTGTTGTATCTTCATCTGTGATTTTTGCGTGTGGTTGATAAAGAACAGCATGTGAATTGTCAGCCATTATAAATCTGCACAGAAGTGACTCTAACCATTCAGAAATGCTAGTGGGGTCACTGTAATGGAGCTAAGGCAGAAGCACTGGTCTGGGAATCAAACCTGGAGTCCAGTTTAAACTCTGTCCTAGCTCTGTATGTTTGGCAAGTTACTGAAGTTCTCTGAGCCTGTTACCTCATCTTTAAGCATGGACACAATACAGGTACAGCTAATAGTGCTAACTAGCTGAGATCAAGCTAATGCTCTACGCCGGAAAGCGCCAACGTACTCTCCTGTTTACGACTCTCTGATTCCCAGCACATGGTTTGATTGTTTTCCAAAGGACAGGCAAACATGGAATTATTTTTATGGCTGAAATACAGGCCAGAGGGCTCTCTTCAGCAACACATATGCTAAAAGTAGAATGATACAGAGATTAGCATGGTCCCTGTTCAGAGATGACATGCAAATTCATGAGGCATTTCATATTTTTTCTTTAAAAAAAAATCAAGCCTGATGTTTTGACAGCTGGAGGAGATAAGCCTCAGTTAAATTCAGGTTCATGCACTCACCCCAGACACATCCACCATGAGAAAATATTGAGAAGACACATCAGTCAGTAACCGTCAACCTGCTTGTTAATCATAGGTAATGATCACTGTGTCGGGAAGAGCTGTCCCTGAGGACTGTGCTGTAATGAGTTGGTAAAGCTCTGATGAACACCGTTTTCCAGGAGTGCACCCCAAAAGGGTATGATATGGTGCCTCTCTCACAGGCTTCTAGTTTCTGTGACTGGTACAAGAACCGCCACAAAACAAGTGCTCCAAAAAGGTTAATTGTGAATCTAATTTCTGTAAGAAGTGTATTTTTTTGTTTTTTATTGAGTTCTGTGGTGATGAGGATGGGACCCTTTGGAAAGGCCTAGGAAGGTTAACCAGCTGAGTCCAGTTGCCTCCTGATTCATTCCCTCTTGGAGTTCTGGAACAGGTTGGTCTGGTAGCAGATGCTACTTAGGGAAAAAAGAGAGCTCTCTTGTCTCTTTCTGTGGAACCCTAGTAATTTCCCAGAAGTTCGAACATGATACTTTCATGCCCCATTCCTCAACCTTGGCTTCACACCACGGTCACCTGTGGCACTTTTACTCCATATTCCCAGATGCCTCCCCCGAGGTTATTTAGTAGGTCTAGGATGGCCCTGAATATCTGTGCTTTTTTAAAACTCCCCAAGTGATTCTGATGCCCTGAACAGAGTTAAGAACCATTGCCCTTGTGGATACAGACCGTTAGGCAGGCAGTAATTCTTCCTCTGCCCCAGAAGAGTGGCTTTCCCTTCTGACCCAGATTCACGCAACTCGACTTTTTCGTGTATGGCCTGAAGCCAGAGGCTGGGATTCTCTTCTTTGTAGTCATGTCTTGGGAGGTTTAGGGTAACCACTCTGTCACAGAAAGAATCAGGTGTCCTTTAAATACGCCAGTGACTGGGGCTGTGGGTCAGGTTACACCAGGCAGGGTCATGGAACCACTTAGGGTCTGAGCAGAGTGCTCCCCAAACTAGCATTGTTTGTGGTGCTTGCACTGTGAACAGCAGGGAGGGAACAAGAAACGGTCTGCTTGGGGCTGAGGGATGTTCTGCTTGGGTCAGAACTCCTCAGAATGAGACTTTCAGGGATCCCTGAATGTCCTTCTCTTCATTTCTGTGGGCCCCCAAACATTCCAGCTGGTCTCTCTACTAAGACTTGTTTCCCCATTCCCTAGAGCTTTTTTCTCTCCCCCCCCCAAAATGAACTCCCCAAATAAGCACTTGGACTTTTTCATTTAAAGGATTAAACTACTGATCTAAATGAAGTAAGACTGCAGGAGAAAATGATAAACTTGGGAGAATCACAAACTAGAAATTTCAGAGGTCCCCATGCCCATACCCCTTGCACAGAGTTCTGGATTCTCTATCAGATAGTTCCTGGAAACTCCAATATCCTCTTTCCTTTTGTTCCTGAACGTACCCTTTCAGAACTTTGCCATTCTCTGGGTCTCATGGTAAACACTGGTTTTCATTTACTGTGCCTCTATTATGTGGCAAGCATTGGGCTAAGTTCTCCACAAATATTATGGAATTTTAAAAATCACAAGACTCCAGTTTGGTCATTATTATCCCTATTTTATTGATAAGGGAACTGAGGCTTAAGAAGCTTGAAAGTCACCTGCCCAAGATCATACAACTAGGATGTACCTTCTTTAAAAAAAGTCCTTGATAAAGACCTGAAGAAACCATGACAATCATCTGAAATGTTTTTTTGAGAATGAGATGGCAAATAAAATGGGGAAGAAGATAGGTCAGAAGAGGAGGTGAAATTATAAGCCATTCAGGTGACCCAAAGTCTTTATCCTTCATAGGAAGGGCAGCCCCACCCTGGGGAAGATGGTAGGAATGTTATTCTCTGTCTGATCCCTTTTCAAGATCCTGAAACTTTCATAAAATAGCATCCTGGTCATCATGGCTTTCTCACCTACCTGCCACAAGCACAAAATGAAATGAAGCAGTGAAACCCTTGGATAAACCCATTCTGTCTTAGCCAGATGGAATTTGGGGGAGCAGGTAGTGAGGACCCAGGCTGTATGGGTTGAGTCCTCACTGTAGGACACTGTTTACTCTTAGGGAACTTCTTTTTACAATTGATATCAACCAAAACTCTAAGCTGGTGACTACAGTTTTGTGTTTGCTTTTTTTGTTGTTGTTTGTTTTAATTTTCATTTTTAAAGAAGTGATGGTTTGGGTGGTTTTGTTTTTTTTTTTTTTAGGATTTTATTGATTTCACACAGAGATTGTGTGTGAGCACACAAGCAGGGGGAGCAGCAGAGGGAAAGGAATAAATAGACCCCCACAGAGCAGGGAGCCTGATTCAGGGCTCAATCCCAGGACCCTGGGATTATGACCTGAGCCAAAGGCAGACAGTTAACCAACTGAGCCATCCAGGCACCCTGGTGACTTGGTTTTTAAACCAGAATTACGATACTGGGAAAAAACCAGGATTTTGGTTTGGCACTCTGTTGAGAACTGGGACTCTGTTTGTCTCTTGGAGCCCTACATTGTTGTCATTAATTGAAGGAGGAGGGAACAGAACTCATTGGTTTAGTAAGTTAGCCAGGAGTTATTCTTCGAGGGCCTACTCTGTGCAAGGCAGGACTGGGGGTGCAGAGGTGAATAATCTGTGGTCTTTGCCCTTAAGGAACTCACACCCGAGTCCAGGAAATGGGTGACCACAGCCCAGTGGGACAAGTGCCATATTTGTTAGATTTGTTAGACTGCTGTGGACTCCCAGAAGAGGAGTATCTAAACCCCTCAGAGTAGTCAGAGTGCTTTCTCTGAAGGCATGAGGGTTAGGTTGAGTCCCCCAGAAGATCAGGTGGGCAGTATATGAGGAAAAGTATAGAAATGTTCCAAGCAGAGGCCTCCATATGTGTAAAAGCCCAGAGGGATGAGAAAACCGGTATGTCTGGTTAACAAATATTTAGTGAGTGCCTACCATGCACTCAGTATGTGTTCCTTGAGGGAGGTGTCAGCTGCATCAGGCTCCAAGGGGGCCAGCTTGAGATCACAGGACTCAGACTCAAGCTGGACTCCACATCCTATATACTTGCATATTACCTTCCCTCTGGACTTCACACTAGGCTGTTCACTTGAGGGCCAAAACCCTGAGGGTGATACTCTGAGGTATCATAACAGCAGACAGGAGTTTCCCCTATGTCTGAAGTATGGGAGGAGAGCCGCCCCCACCCGCGCCCCACCAGTGTGCAACCCCAAGTTATTATGCTTGTCTGGGCCTCCTAGCCCCTACTGCCGTTCTCTGGTGTGGCTCCAGGCCCTTCCCACTCTCTGGAGAGGGTAAGGGAAAGCAAAGCTGCTGAGAGGTTAATCTGTGGGTCAGGATTTGTCACTGGGGACCCACCAGCAAGGGCACTGGCATGGGTCCAGTCTGCCACTCATTGTCGGAGTGAGGAAATCACTCCAGTCTCCAGTCTTTTCAGTTACTCTTTGAGAAAATGAAGGAGTTGACCAGGGTCAGCAGTGGTAAAGATGGGCACACATGCTGTCTCTCCCCATCCCATCTTCTGTGCCAATGAAACTGTCAAGCTCCGTTTTCTATATAACTCAAAACCTGCATTCCTCTTTACCCCATTCTCCCCAAGCGATACTTTCTCCTGCCGAGACACGGCGAGGCCTTGACATCCTTCTCTGCATGATCCTGCAGCCATGGGAATGGATATGAGACTGAATGCTCTTTGGTCCAGCTGTTGTCTGGCTCTGACACCTGTGAAACTGAGTAGACATTGGACTGCCTGCTCGCCAGTGATGGTTCTAGCAAACTCCAAGGAGCAGTGCTGCAACCAGAAATCAGGGGTCTTGGGTACAAAATTTCACTAGGGGCCCCTTTTGCTCCTGGTTGGTATCATAATTAGCAGCCCGCCAGGTGGGGATGCATGGTTGTCTTTGTACCCGTCTAAGAGACAAAAGCAGCTGCAGACAGGGACTCAGTCCCCCTGCTGTGGCCCAGTCTTGTTCTTTGGATCAACAAGGTTAGGTCGCAGCAAACGAAGCAGCAGACTCTGCAGCTCCCTTCAGGCAAGTTTCCTGCTGTCAGCAGCTTCAGATATCCTAGGGCTTACAAGCTTACTGGTAATCTTAATTGAGAGAAAGTAGAGGATTGAAAAGGTAGAGGGTTTCTTTGCCAACCCTGTGTAGAAACTTCCAGAAGTTCCTCTAAGTCTCTAATTCCTTTCCATTCAAAATTATTATATTGACATGCCAGCAGTCCTGAAAGGGAAGAGGGCAAGATCACTTTGAGGCAGGGAAGCCAGAAGAGGCACTGGGAGGCAAGTGGGGGTGCCCAGCACACCATGAGACATGGAGTGTTTGAGCTTGGCTTGGGGAAAGGAACTTTCCCTGAGAGCCCAGGACTCCTTTAGAACCACCCCCCCCCTACTGAGGCCACCAACCACCCCTGCTGAGCTGTTACAAAGCTGCAAGCCAAAGAACTTCATTCTTCCACAATTCCCAGTGTGCCCTGCTTATTAATTATTAATCACATCTCCGGACAATGTATCCAGCACAGCAAGCATTTCACCGAACCACAGAAGGCAGGTTGTTCATGACCATGGGGATTGCAGACAGACTGGAGAGAGCCACATAAGATGGAGGTTACCTTCACCCAGCGCCCTATGGTGGATGTACATTCTTGGCTCTCTGTAATGAGCAGGGTGAGAAAGTCTCTGTGGCCCATGACAGTCTCTCCCTGCCTCTTCTTCCTTCTCAAAATGATATTGATCAGTTTGAGGTGATTGAGTGGAAGATGCAAGATAAGTACAAATGGTGGCTAATTAAATGCAGAAGGCGGGAAAGAGATCTTCGCAGAGCTGGCCAGTGCCTGCTTTACACAGCAAATAGAATTGAGCCAGTCCCCAGAGTACTGGCCTCTTTTTCCCCCATCTCAAAAGGCTCTTTCTTCTGCCCCCTTTTGTCTCCCTTGTAGTTCATATGGCATCACAGGTGTACAGCCTTGGCCTCAAAGGAGCCATTGTGATCTTATCCAGTCTGGGATCTGTTGAGTGAAGACAGTGGCATCCCTCCGAGTTGCCTGGCGCCATTACACACACAGGGGAAGGCCGTGAACCGTCCCGGGGAAGTGACTTGAGATCTAGCCAGACTGTGTTTGGGTGCCTCATTTGCACTCCAGAACAGAGCCACCGGTTCCTTTGGTGAGTTTAAAAAAAAAAAAAGGAAGAAATTGCTATCATTACACCAGAGGTCCAACTCCTGGAATTCAGACTTGGCCCCCGTTTTCCTTCCTGTCTCGGCAGAATGGTATCCTTGACGACGCCGTTAGAACTATGTGCGGAACAGCCGTGTCTGTGGTGTTAATGGCATTCCATGGGGCAGGCTGGGGCTGGTCTCCCTGGTGAGATGCAGCTGGACCAACACACCTCCCGCCAGGCAAGCAGCATGTGTTAGGGCTGCCCCTGCCCTTGCCCACCTGTGTTTGCAGCTTTAGTTTTCTGTCTCCTAGACCCTCATCCCTGCCCTTTCACCTTCCCTCCCACTGCTGTGAATTTCAGCCAGCACAGAGAAGCGAGACTACCCAAAGGACAAAGAGGAGAACTGGGAGCGGGTCGTAGCCCAGTGTGGCACTTCTCAAACTGCTGTCTGGGGCAGGCATGTGTTCGCTGTGCCACGAATATAGTGCTCCCAGCTGAGTTAACTCTGGAAGCTCTGGATTACACAGAGTCATGTGGGCTTTTTCCCTGGGTGCCTTCTCCCAGCCTTTGTGACTCCAATGCACAGTCTGAATCTTAAAGAGGGCAATCAGTAGGCCGCATTTCTCAAATGTATTTTACTCCGGACAAATACCCAATATTATCTCTCGGGATGGGAATGGCACAAATGGTGTAAAGGAGTCCCGCTTAGTGTCCAGCAGTCTGAGCTTCAGAGTCAAGCTTAAGATCAAGTTTTGCCACTTCACAGTCTTACGTTAGGCAAACTTCTTCTCTGAGCTTCAGTTTCCTATCTGTAAATTGGGCTGATAACACTCTCCTGATAGGTGTTTTGAGGACTAAAGAGCATCATGCGTGTAAAACGTTAAGCACGACGTCTGGAGCTCAGTAAACTGTCAGCATTCATTGTTGAATTGTTCGGCCAGATCATGCAAAGGAAGGTGATCTGCCAGCCCGGACTCCAGCTACACACAGCTGACTCACAGCTCTGTATGTCTAGCCTGGAGTGCCCTCTGCTCCATACCGTACTGCAGGGTGCCTGCTTCAAGCTCCAAATATAACGCCTTCCTCCCCACTCCAAACCATTGTTCCTTCCTCCCTGTGTCAACATCCAGTTGCCCACACCAGAAGCCTGGGAGCCATCAAAGACTTCGCCTCCCCCCACAGAGAGGTTGGTCACTGAGTGACATCAATGGCATTTCTTGTTCAAAAGATTCCAGTTTATAAAAACCCCTTCCTTCCCATGGCTCCTGTCCAGACTGTACCTACTGCCTGGCCAGTTACCGAGTCAGATTCTCATTCTCTCTAACAAGAAAGCCTGCTTCCTCCCTCAGTCCACCCAATAAATTGCTGCTTCTTCCGGGCCCAACTAAGGTACCATTCTTCCAAAACCCAGTTGCTAATTCTGCACTTTCTCCCTGAAGCTGCTTAAACCCTGGCCTTCAGATAGCACCCTCAGGCCTGCCTGTGAGGGTTCTTCTCACAGTGACCATGTCAAGCCGCTGGGCAGATTTTTTTGTTTTATCTTTAAACCCCTTGGCATAGTACCTGACAATGAGTAGGACTGGCAGTAAATATTCGTTGAGTTAAATTTACTTGAGTTTTACAAAAAGGTACTGTCTTCCTTTCAGTGATTCAGTGATTGTTTTCAAAGGGATAGAAAGCTAATTATTCCAAAGGATTCCTTAGGTATTTTGCCCCCAATAACACCCACCATCTCGTTAGCATCTACTGTGTATCAGGTACTCTAGCAAATGCTTTATTTACATTAACTTAATTCTGTGAGCTGGGTTCTAGTGTTCTTCCTATTTCACAACTGAGTATTTTGAGGTTTATCTATTTGGTAAATGGCCAAGACAGGATTCAAACCCATGCTTCTCCCTTCATCTGTGACCTGAGATCCACCAATATTCCCTCTTGACCATGGTCGTCTAGATTTTTAAAGTGTGATTTACTGCAAGCCTGATCTATGGGTTTTGCTTAGAACAAACTCTCTTAAAGACAATCTCCATTGTTATTTGTACCCACCCTTCAGAGTTCTTTTCCTGAACAGCCGAGAACCAGGAAGAGCCAAGAAGAAGCCTCAATAGTTAAATCCCTATGGCTCAAGCCTCTCCCCTGATTCCCTAAAAATGGCTGGCACTTTTATGCCTCTTTTTCTCAGGGAGAAGAATTGGGTAATTGCATTAGGAAGCATTCTTGAGCACTTCTTTGTCCCAGACACTGTGCTAAACACTGAGTTAAGACTAAGAGTTCTCTGCCTTCAGGGAGCTCATAGCCCAGTGGGGAGACAACACACGTGCACATACTGACTATAAAACTAGGGGTTAGGTAAAAAGAGACCTGAACTGAACTGAGTCCGAAAGACCTGGATCCAAATCCAAATTGGAATCTGCAACTCCAAAATCTAGAAAGTTCTACAGACTGACAGTTCTGCTTTGATTTCTTTTGTTTCACATCTCATTTGGAGGGAAAGCCTGATCTACAGTGAAGTTTTTGTATGGTCATTATTCATCCCACTTAGTGTGAATATTCATACATTGTGCTGCCGAAACAATGTGTCTGATCACAGAGTGCTGCCCGAACCCCCACAGGAAGTTGCAGAGATGATGTGGTTCTCAACTCCGATGTACCTCTCACCTGCAGCATTTTGGGAAAGGAATGTGAGCTAAGGCCTGTTGTGATCAACTGAAAGAAACATATGAAAAAAGACTCCATAAACTATAAACAACAAAAAACTCAACATAAGTTGGTCTTAAATGGTATAGTCACCCCTTCTGAGTAACGAGAGCACCAAAGATGGAGCAAGTGATTTTTTTCAGGACCAAGAGGGTCAGAAGATGTCTTAAAGGGTGAATTGGATTTCTCACTTCATGAAGAAGCTGTGGAAAAGAAATTTTGGGCTGAGGGAACAGCATGTAGAAAATGTGCAGAAAAAAAAGTCTTTAAGTAGCTTGAGCACATGGACTGTGTAGGCTTGTAGAAAAATTGATTCTTTGTCAAAATATCAGAGAAAAGCAGTACAGATAATAGAAAGGGGCAGCTAGTCTACAATCCATTTGATCTAGACGCGTTCACAGAGTGACCTCACTGTCGGGCTGATGGCTCCCTGCCCCACCTGTGGGGAGACTGGGGGGCTGCTAACCCCTCCCCAGCTCCCCAGGCAGGTCCAGCGAGGTTCACACCCGCACACCACTCCAGGCTGGTGCTCAGCTTGCCACCTTCTGCTTGGTCCGCTTAGCCCCTTGCCCGCTGGCTTCTCTGGCATCAGACGGGCAGGTTCAAATCAGACCAGCCACTTACTACTTCTGGTGGCCTTCAACAAATTATTTACCTCTTTTGTGCCTTTGTTGCTCAGCCATAAAATCAGAATAATGGCAGAAAGCTGGCATGGAAGGCACTTCAGCAGAGTGCCTCAGTGGTAAGCACTCAAACAGTAGTTATTATGGTTATTGGTATTACAAGGAATCCCCTCCTCCAGCTGTGTGTAAATACATGTATTCCTTAATAGCTACCTAAACAAGAAGGGCCCTTTCTTTATTCTGTCTGCCTTGGTCATATCTCCTTCCGAGTTAACTATTTTCTGTACAGAGCGTCTCTATTTCAGTTTTTCACAGCTGTTTCTCAGGTGTGGTGAGGCATGGCCTCCCTTACTTTGGTCATGATCCAGTACAGGGATTCCCAGACTGGGGCTCTGAGGGCCCCAGAGATTCTTGGAGGCAGTCAGGGGAATGCCCAGACTAACTTCAGGATGCTCGTGCAGGGCACGGTAAATCAGAGTGCCGACTGGGAAAGCAGGGAAGCCCTGCCACTGACCAGTTAGTGATCTTACCCTGTGCAAGTTTCATAATCTTGAGGAGCCTCTGTTTCCTACTTGACAGAATGGCAATATCAGTACTCTCCTCACAAGAGAGTTACAGCTTAGAGCATGTATTTAAAGCCCCTTAGCACAAGACCAATACCCTGTAAACACCTGCCACCATTGTTACCACTGTTAGTATAAGACATTTCTTGAAAATCACACTTCTACCCCAAATGGAGCCTCAGGTATAATTAAAAGGTCAGATTTCTGCCGGAAGTGGGTAGAATTACATCTGCTGTAGTTCACTGACACTGTGGCCTGATGCTAGAACCTCTGTGTGGCATATATATATATGTGTGTGTGTATATATATATATACACACACACATATATATATACACACCTTTGGTAACTAAAAATCAGGAGAGTTATTACTGAACAAGTACATTTGGGCACAGGGAAACACTGCAAACATGAAGTCTTGATGTGGAGAAAGACAGAAAAAGAGTCTCTGGTAATTAAAAAGTCACGAGGACCGCTGGTCTATGATACCAATCAGTACTTTCTGTTTGGAAGGTCTCCTTTTATTTAAAAAGAAAAAAAAAAAAAAACCCCACCCCATGGACCTTGTCACCAGGGCTTCCCCAAAAGCCCTTCAGCAGGTTTAACCCATTAACCAAAGTTCTAGTGCATGAAGACATGGGCCCCACAGTGTCTAGGGCCCACTATGAGCAGAGCCTTACCACATAGAAATCCCATCTGAAATGGGAGAGGCTCTTGGCAGTAAGCAAGTTCAAAAGACCACCACCGCTCGCCATTTAACAAATGGAGAAAGAGGCCTAGAACTGGGAAGAAACTTGCTGGGGGCAACACAGCCATCATGTGGTAGGGCTGGCTTCACGCCTAAGACTCAACAGTCCACCCGGCATCTCTTCTGACAGACCAGCATTCTCACCCAGAAGGGACAGCAAATCAGAGTCACCTAGGGAGTTCTTTCTGAACTACATAGGGCATCTCTTTCCCTCACCTGCTCCGTAACTAACAGGTAAATAAAATTAAAAAGCGGAGAACAAATAAGCTAGCCCAGGGTGTCCCAGTTATGTCGCCATAACTGGGACGTAAGAGCTACTTGGGCTGCCCCGTATCTTGAGATTCTGGTTCAGTAGGTCAGAGCTGGGGCCTGAGCATCTGCATTAGTCAACACAGCAGGTGACTGTGATCAGCAAGTTTTGGAAAACACAAGGCGAATCCAGGCCAGCAGAAGGTTTACTAGTTTCAGTCTTCGAGGGGGCAGGGGGATGGCAAGGGCACTAGAGATTTTCCACACGCAGTTAATGAGAGAGTTAACCCATAGCCTGTGCTAGTGCCCTACAGCACCTTTCTCTCTTCTAACAACCCTGATTCCTGGGCACACGATGGCGGCTCAAAAATGTTGCTGCCTGACCTACTTTGGGGAGATGATTTGAGCAAAAGATGCCCTGTCTAGGCTGGGTGACACTAACATCTCTCTTTGGCTTTGTGCTTAGGCTGAAGAACCTGGAGCTAGCTGCTGTGGGCGGATCAGACGTCCATGTGAAGATGCTGGCAGCCCCTATCAATCCATCTGACATAAATATGATCCAAGGTAACCTTGGTTTCTGTGGCTTATGTTAATTGGCTTTTTTGCTTAGCCGCCACCTCGTTTTCATCCTTCCTCAGGTGTGGGTGTGAAATCCCTGTGATTAGCAGCAGCTGCTCTCCAGATGAGCCATCTGCAGACTACCAGCCCTCTCTGGCCTCCCCTCTCTAGAATGTGAGGCTTTTCGAGAGTCAGAAAGATTTCAGTGGGGAGTAAACCAACCACTGGGAGTGCCTGTGATACGCTGGGCTCGTTTCACACATTATCTAATCCCCATAATAACCATGAACGCTAAAAAAATATTATCCCCTTTACAGATGAAGAAGCTAAGGTTCAGAGAGTCTGGTTAGTTACACAGCAGGTCAAAGGCAGAGCCCAGATCAGGCTTAGATCCGACTCCAATGTTCATGCTCTTTCACTGCCCAGACCTCACAGGGTGGCCCTCTGTGCTCTTCTCCCTTAGGAAATTATGGCCTCCTTCCCAAGCTCCCTGCCGTTGGAGGGAACGAAGGCGTTGGACAGGTGGTAGCAGTGGGCGGCAGTGTGACTGGGGTGAAGCCAGGAGACTGGGTGATTCCAGCCAATGCCGGTTTGGGTGAGTTTCTCCAGGTGTCTGCAGCCTCTCTTTGTTCCAGATTGTATTTCACCCACACTGGAAATGTTTGCTCATTGGCTCAGTGTGACTAAGCAATGCAGAGTTTATTATTGAGTTCATATACCCACCACCAGTTGCAGTGGGAGCAGAACAGGAGAGCGGAAATTGTGTTTCTTCCACTCTGGAGGTAGTGGACCTGCTCTCTCATCTCTGTGGGCCTATGTGGATGAGATCTGTGATTCTCTGAATTCCTACATCCCTAAATCCCTGCTGTAAGATACAGTGGGAAACCCAAATAAGACAGCCCCTGCCCTCAAGAAGGTTAAAATCTAATTGAAGAAATCTCCAAACTAGTAACCTCAATAAAGGGTGTATTACAAGTTCACAGGAAGCAGAGGGCACTTCTGGCTCCTCTGTGGGTGAATGCAGATGTGAGAGAGAGAGTCTTAAAGGATGAGGGCTCTGTGGAGGAGGCCTCTTTGGAATGCACCTTTGATAGATGGATTGTTAGATGGAGATGAGCCAGAAATTATTGCATTTGGAGGAAACGAAATGAGCAAAGACACAAAGGTGAGTGTGGGAAATGTTGAGAAATCCAGTGTAGCCTCAGCAGAGGATTTGCACATGAGAAGATGCTTAAATGATGGTTACAAAGGTAGTGGGGCCACATGGGGGAGCCCTGCAGAAGCCAAGCAAAGGAGTTAGGGTTCTCTTTGATACGTAGTAAGGAGTCATTGGTGAGTTTTGTTCTTTAGTGCTTCAGTTGTTGAGGCACAAACGTTATACAGAGTATCCTGACAGCAACCACGAGAGGGAAGCAGGGAAGACGATATCCACCCTTTTGGACATCTAAAGGACTGAAACTCAAACTGAAACAGCAAACTGAAAGAGAGCCCACCAAAAATCTTGTCACCACTGCTTTTCCTGCTACACTGCAGTATTAGGATTCTTTGGGCTATCACTTAGAGAGTTGACGTAAACTTGATTTATATAAAAAGGAGAAGTTAGAAAAAAGAAGTTATTCCGTTCCTGGAACTGGGAAGAACAAGAGATGGAAGGCTTCAGGGACTGCTGGATCCAGGAACCCCAGTGATACAGAGCTCATTCTCTTGTTCTCACTAGTTTTCAGATGGAATCTCTCCCACACAGTGATGTAATAACATCAATGAATAGTTATTGTCCACTCCCTTTGCACCAGGCACTGTTCTAAACACTTTGTATGTATCACTCAACTATTCCCACAACAGAAGGTAGATATGAGACAAATGTAAGATATTAAGCAACTTGCCCAAGGTCACCCAGCTATTAAGTGATGGAGCTGAGATTCAGACTGACCTTTTATAGGTGGCCACCAGCATCCAAGGTTTGCTTCATCCTAAGAACAAACAAATGAACACAGTCTGTCCAGCACGGCCATATCCATCTGCTAACAGGACTCTGACCGGCCCTGCCTGGTCCTTGCTCATTCCTGAGCCCCGTCATATCTAGCACTGTCGTGGCAAGCATCTTTACTGCCAGCATTTTCATGGCATAATGAATTGGCCATCAGGCAACTTTGCTATAAAAGATAAAATCATGAAAAATAAAAGTGGAACTTTCAATTAAAAAGGACATCATGAAACATGAAAAATGAGGAACAAAATTGAAAAGACTTTATTGCAAAGTATAAAATGTTAGAATACATTCAAAATGTTTAGTGTAGTTGCATAGCAATACTACACAAATACTGATTTTATTTCGTGATCTACAGAATGTTCCTAAGCGCTTGTCTTCAAAGTCTTTTATTCCTAGTATACAATTTTTTGTGCTTGTTGATTCATCTCCTGAATTGGTATCATGCTTTTTAAAATTTTTATTTATTAATTATTTTTTTGGCTAAAATTTTTTCCTTGATTAAGAGAACTATCAGTTTCCAAAATACTAGGATGCACATTTGTAGCTGCCTTTGTATTGTGTTGTGAAAGCCTTTTGCACTGTTGTCTGCTTTTGGCATATTGTCACATTTCTATTGATAGATGTTCCAAAGCTCTCTGGGAAATGTGGGCTCAAAACTCTGTGCTACTGTATAGACCATTATGAGGGCTAAGGTTTAAACAGTACAAAACAGAAGGACTGTGTCAATGGAGAGATGAAACCAGACCGTCAACTAGTAGATGAAACCAGCAAACTGTCAAACCAAACAGTCAGCCAGTTATTTTGTTTAACTTTTTATGAGAAAATTGCCTTATGGCTAATGAATTATATGGCAAAAATGCCTGTGGTAAAGATGCTTTGGCCTAAAACCACCAGGGGTGTGGGGTTGGGTCACTCCCAATTGCGGTAGTTGGGTCACTCCCCACCCCTGTGGTTCAGAGGATGGAGCCTCAGATGTTAAGAAGGAACAGTTCTAGAAAGAAAAAGGCACCAGGCAGGAAAGAAAAAAAAAAAAAAAAAAAACAGTAAAACCAGAAGCTCTTTTCTTCTCTGAGATCAGAAAAGCTGCCAAGAAGGGCACCTGGGTGGCCCAGTCACTTAAGCATCCAACTCTTGATTTCAGCTCAGGTCATGATCTCAGGGTGGTGAGGTGGGGCCCTGTGTTGGGCTTCGTGCTGGGCGTGGAGCCTGCTTGGGATTCTCTCTCTCCCTTTCCCCCTCCCCCACAGAAGAAAAGAAGAACTCCCAAGAATGGCTCCACTCTCTCCTGCAGCCCCACCTGGCAGTGAAAGAACCTGGCCTTCTGAGCAGAGAGCTGCAGGATTCTCTGTATCAGGAGGAAGTGGTGCTTTGTGCCAGCCCCTGTCAGACACAGTCTCTGCCCTCAAAGTGTTCTGGGCTGGGGCTGGGGAACCCAGGAACAGAGAAAACAACCCTTAACACAGTACAATGTAGTAAGCACTGTAAAGAGAGGGTGGGCACAAAGGCAAGAGTCCCTCCCATCTCGGGAAGCTTGAGGAGAAGCTGTGCAAAGAAGTGCTGTTGAACTCAGTCTGGGAAGACTGAGTAGAAGCACAGCCCATGGGCTAGGTGAGGAAGGGCTTCCAGGCAGGGAGGGCAGCATGTGCAAAGGTGCGGCGGTTGGTGGGAGAAAGCATGGCACTGTCAGAACTGCAGGGGTGTGGCTTGGTCCCTGCCCGCCTGAGGGAGACAACAGATGAGGCCGTAGAGTTAGGCTGGGCCCCAGTCATGGAGGCTCACAAGACCCAGAGGAAGAGTTCAGAAGCGTGAGTGACCAGATGTGGGCAGTGCAGAGAATGCTCTGGAAAGGCAGAGGGTGGAAGCAGGAAGCCAGTAAGGAGGTGGCTGCGCGGTTCAGGCTTCACCTGAGAAGGGTCTGAACAAAACAGTGCCATAGGGCCTGAGGAGACAGGTCACTAGATTTGGAGAGAAGAATGAGGGGCGTCTGCCAGGGGTGCGGGTCATTGCACAGGTGGCAGAGGCAGGTATCAGCCAGAACAGGGAGTTCTTCCTGGACAAAAGGTCAGTCTTTCCCCCCAGGTGCAGGTCAAAGAGCATGAGGATTTTATAATGGTCGGGACTATAATCAACTCCATTTAGTCGGCAAGCATTTCGTGAGCCTCTGCTGCATGCGGGGCTCTGACAGATGGCAGTGAACAGATGTGGTCTTCCTTCTGGTGAAGGCTGCAGCTTAGTAAGAGTGACAGTCATTGAACAGCGCAGTCCTCAACTGGCCAAACCTTGGCCATCCTTCCTGTAGGTACTGAGCTGTGCCCATAGCCAGTGTTTCCCCACACACAGGCAGTCCCCAGGGAGACCAGGCCAGAGAACTCGAGGACTGACGTCCTCATTGGAAACGCTCAAAGCCCTCCCAGAGCAGCATGGGGCAGGAGCAGGAGCAGCGGCCCAGGAATCTTGTTCCACCCCGTGGGTGACCTTGTTGAAGCCACAGCTACTTTGAGCCTCAAGTGTCCTTATCTCTACAATGCAGCTAACAGTCGTTGCCTGGCATCTCCCAACTCATTTGTGCATCTCAACTGAGGGAAGACACACAATAATTTTGACAAATTTCTGTACGTATTAGATCAGGGTCAGCAAACTTTTTTTAAAGGGCCAGTTGTACATATTATAGGGTTTGCAGGCCACACCGCCTCTACTCAGCTTTACCTTCATAAACAGCCACGGACAGTACCTAAGAAGTGAGCATGACTGTGTTCCGATAAAACTTGGTTTACAAAAAATCGGTGGTGAACCAGGTTTGGCCCATGGTGGTGGTTTGCCAACCCCTGCATTAGGTGGTAGAGATGGTTAAGGGCCAGTTGCACAGGAGTGAGGAACGGGAGTCCTGAGAACTAGGACATGGAACTTAGGATCAGAAGGAAACCAAGGGATATTCCACATCTATATACTAGGCACAACAATCATCTGTACAAATGTCATTGCATTTAATCTTCACACTATGACATGAGTGTCAAAAAAGGTGCAGTGATAATTCTAAGTCACACAAATCATGAATGGCAGAGCTAGAATTTTAAAACAGGTCCCCCACTCCAGGGTCTAAGGGTTTCATGGCTCCATCAGTGAAGTGTCTGCCTTCGCTCAGGTCATGATCCCACTGGGATCAGGCCCTGCATCAGGCTCCTTGCTGTGGGGAGCCTGCTTCTCCCTTGGCCCCTTCCCACCATTCGTGTGCTCTATCAAATGAATAAAATCTTTTAAAAAATAAATAAAACCCTAAAAGCCTGTGGGGCTGACCATGAGCGCTGCCCCCATCCCACCCAGGTTCTCTTGAGAAGAGGATTAAGGATGGCCAAGCCCCAGAAATTCGTGTCAAAGGGTGGATTTCCATTGTGGAACCATCAAGAGGGATTGGAAAACATCCCTGATTTCATGCACAGGAGGCCCTACAGTAAGCATCTGGCGCAGAGTAGATACAGTACATGTTGGCTAAGATGAATGGGGGCCATGGTTATGAAGCTGGCAATGAAGATTTGAAAACCAGCCTGGGTAGAGCCCAGAGAATGCCCAGGTACCTCCTAGATTCCAAAAGAACCCTTCACTTTTCCAGTGTCTTGTCCCCTCAGCCACAGATGTACTCTGACATAGCCCTTAACAAAGTGTATTCCTGCCTCCTGTCTCCATACCTGGTCCCTGAAGCCCACATTGTTTCCCTCCTCCTACAGCACAATTACTAGTCACCTCAGCGGTTCCCCCTCTCCATACCTGACCATTGGTGCCAGGGTACTATTCAAATCCCAGCAACTGGGTGGGTTCACACCCTCCAGAGCTTTGGAGGCATAGGCCAAGGACCCCTGAGACCCACAGAGCCAGACACTGAGCCAAGAAGGCTCCAAGGAGTTTCTCTTAGATGATTTAGTGAGTGTGTGGTGGAGCCAAGGCTTGAATCTGTGTCTGTCTGACTGTAAGTCTGTCCTCCTCACCTCTGCTTTATACAAGATCCCACCTGCGTGGGTGAGCATCTGTCAGACGGTAGGTTGTAACCCATTAGCAAAATCGATGTAGGGGGTTGCCAACAGCACTTTTTTTTTTTTTTTCTAAAATCGGTCAGAATAGTATCATATATCAAACATAGTAGGATAAATACATTCTGTGAAACTTTGGTTTCTGTTATATGTATGCGTACCTGTTTATATATGCGAATGTACTGAGTGACACCGTAACTCAGGGTTACTCCAAGTCAGGATCGTGAAAGTCTGGGTGACCGTTCCTCTAGCCCAAGCCACTTCAGCCAAGGCCCAAGCCTGTTTTCCCATCACCCTCTGCCCTGTAGAGTATATCCTCCCAGGTCCATCTTCTGTCTGTCCTGCCCCAGAGCCTCTGCATATGCTTTTTCCTTTCCCTAGAATGTTCTGGATGTACTCTTTGAGTGGCTGGTATCTGTATACTTTAACTGTTAGCCTGCACCTCCTCAGAAAAGCTGTCCCCAATCCCCATCTCAAATAATTCTCCCCAGTGTTACCTTCTGCCTCTATAATTTGAAGTTACTGTATCTGCTTGACTGGTTTTGTATGTTCTCCGCTGTACTAAAACTCTGTGAAAGGCCGGAATGTGTCTGTGCTGTTCAAGCACCTGGCTCACAGTAGGTCCACACTAAGTATCCGCAGGTGGAAGGGGCAGCCCAGATTGGCCAGGCGACTTTGGGCAAGTCACTTTCTCAGTTTCTCGCCCTGTTGAATGAGGAGGTTAAACGTGATGCTCTCTGGGCCTCCTCAACACTGATGTTTTATGATTCTTTTGTCTGCAACTGGAATGTGGGCTGGAGGTTAAAGACCATTTCTCTCGAGTTTACATTTGTCATTTTCTTTCAGTCATTTGATTTGTGCAGCAGCTCTTGGGGGAGGCCAGTCAGGCTCTTCTTGCCAGTGTCATTTACATATTAGGGTAAACAAAACTCAGGGACTTAGGAATTTGCTCAACTAGCAGACCAGCAAAACCAGGTCCCAAACCCAGGCCTTTGACTTATACTTTCATGCTTTTTTCCATAATACCACCCAAGTCAGCCTGCCCTCAATGAGGAAAAGGAGGACTGAGTAGGAAAATGGGGGCTTCACAGCTTCCCTTGCCCATGTCATGCTGTTTCTCAGAGTCCAGGAGTTTCGGATCCTTAGCCACCTGCTGGGTGACATGAGCTACGTCGAGGTAATTAATGTGAGAATAACAGAATCTACCTTATATAACTATCCTGAGGACTTACAGAGATTCAAAGGATTTCAAGATCTTTTTTTTTTTTTTTTTTTTTTTTGACACAGAGAGAGATCACAAGAAGGCAGAGAGGCAGGCAGAGAGAGGAGGGGAAGCAGGCTCCCCGTCCAGCAGAGAGCCCGATGTGGGGCTCAATCCCAGGACACTGGAATCATGACCTGAGCCGAAGGCAGAGGCTTTAACCAACTGAGCCACCCAGGCGCCCCAAGATCTTCTTTTTTCTCTAAGTGGTGCTTGAAATCTGATATCTTAGGTGCCCGTTTACTGAGGAGGGTGACTTGGGGCCCGGTGTGGAGAGGGGTCCTATCTCACTAGCCCGAACTCATCCCCTGACTCAGGAACCTGGCAGACGGAGGCTGTGTTCAGTGAGGAAGCAGTGATCAGCATTCCAAGTGACCTCCCTCTTCAGAGTGCCGCCACCCTGAGTGTCAATCCCTGCACGGCCTACAGGATGTTGATGGACTTTGAGCAGCTGCAGCCAGGTAGGAACCCACAGGTGCTGGGAGCAGGCGAGGATCCCAGCCTGGGATGAGACCCAAATCCTGACCCCAAGACCATGGGAACTTACTAGTAAGGCCCTGAGATGAAGATGGGCCCCTACCCTGGGTGAGTGTGTGATTGTTGCTTTTGCTTTGTTAGCTTGGATCCTAGAAAACATGCTGAAACCTCATGAGGAGAACACTCCAGATAACCGCTGAAGGGCCACATTCCCTAGCGCTTGGGATGGAATTCTGTCATTCAGCAAAAACGTGGAGCTGTGCTAAGCTCTGGGATACAAAGCCAGACAAGATAGACACAGTGCCTGTGTTTTCAGTAAAATGCTGAACCCAGTAATTCACTCAGCATTCATAGGACACTTTCCAGTTCACATAAGAGACCTTTACGTGCATTAAACCTTCAAAGCAGTGCGGTGAGGCTGGTGTCAGTGGTGGAAAGCCCAGGCCCCGGGCAGAAAACCTGGGTCTGAACCCAAGCTTCCCCTCTCACAGTGAACTGACCTCTCAGATCATCAGATGTGTCACCCGTAACATGGAGAGGAAGGTTTTGTGAGGGTTAACGGAGACAATGCACACAGCACAGTAACTCCTCTACTTGATTATTCTTCCTGTTCAGAAGTGAGGAAACTGAGGTCCAGAGAAGGAAACTGCTATGTGAGTTCACTCGGCAAGGAGGTGACAAAGCCAGGTGTTCTGTTCGGGGTTCCCTAAAAGCAGAGCCTGAGACAAGGATGGAGGGTGGATGGTTGGCAGGGAAGGTGATCCCAGGAAGCAGGAGTGAGGAGATGGGGCAAGCCAGACGGAAGGAGGAAAAGCCAGGGAAGGCCGCTTACTGCTGTGGGCAAGCAGAGCTCAGTCTTGCTGAGAGGGGACCTCCCAAGGCCCTCATGGAACCCACCTCACAGTTAACCTCCCATTGACAGGCTGGGCTCACCCCCATTGTTGGAGGGTCACCCTGCACACTCTGCATGTCCAGGGGCTAGAGAAATGGCCTAGTCTAGCTCTGCCATGTGCATGTCGAACCCGAAGCAGAGATGCTGGTGCATGATAGGCTTAGGTAGCCTCCGCTGCTTGAGGCTAAAAACCAGTCCCGGCTTCCCGCCAAGAGAAATGCAGGTCCTCACAGCTGTGCCAGAGCGGTCCTTGGAGCCTTTGGTGGAAAAAGCCAGCAGGTGACTAGGGACCTTTGCCCAAGTCCTGGTGCAAGAGACGTTTTGATCGCCTGCATCTCCTCCCCTCAGGCCACCTCTTATTTGGGCTGCAGCTAGGCATCAGGGCCATCTGACCCCACCTCAGGGGCCCATGGTGCATCCCTCCACTTGCCTGCCTCTGGACAGGTGTGGCCTGGGCTAGATCAGTGTTAGTCTAAGTTGTCCTGCTGAGCCGTAGTGAGAATTACAGCTTACCTTGTAATCTAGTACAAGGATACAGGTGAGTATGTACTTTGGTTCCCACAGTTTCATGGAGCAATATTTACCCTTCTGTGTGGTGCGCTCTACTCAATTCTGTAATCTGGAATTTTAACCAAAAAAAATGCTACTGGCAGCCCACTAGGTTGATTTTATAACCCACTAATGGGTGACAATGCATATGCTGACTCCGGGCTACAGAGAATGGGCATTCTTCTTCCAGGAACTCCCCTGTCTGTAGCCCCAGATCCCTGCATTTCAGATAACATTTCTGGGATAACAGAGCACCTTCCTGGACACATTGGCATCTGACTAATAAAGAGCATCCCGATTGGTGTTCCCAGGACTCCTGTCTTATGGGGAGTAAATTGAGGTCATGACCTGTCCCATGTTTCAGTCAGTTATAGTCAGTGAGGGAGCTGGGAGTCACACCAGGGTCCATGTCACGTCAGAACCCACGTTTTCACTGCCTCCCCCATTGGCAAATTCCAAAGCCAGGCCTGGCCTTTGACCACAGACGACCTGTAGGACCCCGTTTCTGGGGCTGCAGGTTTTTCCAGCACAGCTCTAAAACCATTTCAAGGCAGTGTGCCTGTACTTAGCAGCACAAAGGGGAAATAAAGTGTGGCCGTGCCCTCAGGAAGCTGCAGGCCGCAGGCTCTTGCCAGAAACGGACCTATCCACAACCAAGTATGAGATAGGGCACACCACCTGCGGAGCACTGGGGAAACACACACAGGGAAGATGGGAAGGAAGCCACACCTGAGCTGCGCTTCAAAGGGTACGTGGGATTTCAAAATGAAGGAAGAGAAAGAAGGAAGCATTGCAAACCATAGAAATAACCTAAGCAGAGATTTGAGGATATAAAAACCAGAAGGCTGATGAACGACATGAAGTCATTTACACAGTGGGGTCTAAATTATGTACAGCGTGGGCTCCCGAGTTGCCAAGTCCTGGGAGGCACCATGGGTGTTGTGGAATTTTGGGGGGCATTGGGAGAAGAGTAAGCAACACTCCAAGGTCTGAGGAGGTTCAGCAGCCAGGTCCTGGGTCATTTCCAGCCTGAAGACTCCCCTCTCTTGCCCTACAATAGGATCCCAGGCAGGAAACCCTTGACCAGTTACAGGTCTCTGGGGCTTGACTTGGGTCTCTTCCTGGCCCCACAGGAGACTGTGTCATCCAGAATGCATCCAACAGTGGAGTGGGGCAAGCAGTCATCCAGATCGCTGCAGCCCTGGGCCTGAGGACCATCAATGTGGTCCGAGACAGGTGTGTGGGGAGACCTGATCCCAGGGCAAGGGACTTGGCCCTTCCTCCCAAACTCCCACCCTGCCCCGCATTCCTGCAGGTGCCCCTGTCTCCACCAGAGGGCACCCGTGCATAAGCAGTCCTCCTCTGCAGCGGACACGGACTGCTGACAGGTCAGCCATGGGAAAGGAGGCCCAGGGGGCCTCTGGCTGTCGGATGAGCCACGTCCTAAATATAAAGGGAGAGTGGGAAGGAGGTGGAGCCCACCCTTGCCGAAGACTTTTTGAGACTCTTGAGATAACCCACGGTCTCAAACCCACAGTTCTTATTTGGGAATCCCTGAAACTGTGTTCTTGCTACTGTGAACTAACCCAGGGCCCTTTCTCCCCTTGCATCTGTGTGGCACTTTGAACTGCTCTAACCAGGGATGTGAAGGAGATGGGACAGGACTGTCATCTCTGTTTTATGGTGAGGAGCAAGTTTCAGAGAAAGGAAGACATAGCAAGTCGGTAACAGACGGTTGTTAGCTCCCTGGCTCGAGCTCTTTCCACCATAGCATCCAGTTGTCTTAAGCCTCGCTGTCTCCTGGAAGTCCAGTCTTAGGAGGAGAACTGATACTCACTTCCCCTCCCTGTCCCCTCACTTGTGTTAACAAAAACTACTGTTTGCCTTGGCCAAAGAGGTCCAGAGCCACTCCTGGGCTAGAGTGTGTTTGCACAACAACTGAAGAGCCCCCTTGAAAAGCATGGGGGAAGGGAAATGAAGTTTGTTGTTTCGGTAGACAAAGTCAGGACGTGAAATGACTTCTCCCTGGGCCAGATGGTTTCTCACACCTTTGAGCTGTCAAGGGCTGTAGGAATCACCCCGAAATACCAGTGAGGGTACCGAGGCATGGAGGTGTCGGGGTGTGATGAAATCAGGTAGCCAGTCCCTACAGAAGGCCTGGCTTACACTCAGCCCCAGCTTCCCACAAAGAAACCGTGAGAACAAGCCTAGGGTAAAGAAAGCCAGCAGGTGTAACCAAGGGCCATGGATTGTGTTTGGTTTCCAGACCTGACTTCCAAAAGCTGACTGACAGACTGAAGAGTCTGGGGGCCGAGCACGTTCTCACAGAAGAGGAGCTAAGGAAGCCTGAGATGAAAAACTTCTTTAAGGTACCTAGGATGAGGGGCATTGTGCCTTCATTCCATGCTCATCTCCCTGGGGAAAACAGACCTGCTAGAAAGGCTGGGAATGGCCCCGTTGCTCCTCTCCAAATTCTCCCTTTGTCTCTTTGTGGAAGGGGAAAGCCCATTCCCTCAGCCAGGGGACAGCACTCATTAAGGGCTCCTGGTGCTGTGAGGGAGGCAGGAGAGACAAAGTTCAAGAAACCCTGGATGGTGTGTAGGTTTGAATATTTGTAGCGCATCCCCTCAGCCCTCACAACCAGCGTGAATCTCGAGCTGGGGGAGGACGTGGGGAACCTGAGGCACAGGGCAGGAAGAGAAAGGAAAGCATTTCTAGGTGAGAAAACCAAGACTCAAAAGAGATCAATGGGCACCAAGGACAGACAGTTACAGGTGGTAAGGTCAGGGCTCTCCAAACTCACAGCTTGTTAACCTTCCTGAACCTCCATCCCCCAGCACACCCAGTAAGTGATGGGACTGTATCTCAGCCTCCTCCCTCTGAACGCTGGAGTGACCAAACACACTCTCTCGAGAACACATGCCTCATAAGGTTTCTAAAGCCCGAGATCAACACTTCCAACATGAAATGAGTTGTAAGTGCACACTGGGAGAAGACGCACACTCGGGGGACCTGAAGTCCTTCAAAAAGGAATTTAGACACCCTCCATCTGTTCTTTCCCAGAGATGAGTTTTGGACGAAATTCCAAAACAGATAACAGGATTAAGTTGATAAAGCAAAGGTCCTCCTTGGGCCCAGTTTGAAGGTACAGACATCCCATTTTCCTCACTCCCTCCCTCTGACATGTGGCCGGGGGTGGGGGGTGCTGTTGGTAGCCAGCTTCCAACCCCACATGTACAGAGCTGCTCCCTCACTGCAGGTTCCTTATTTTCCAGGACATGCCCCCGCCGCGGCTTGCTCTCAACTGTGTTGGCGGGAAAAGCTCCACAGAACTGCTGCGACACTTAGCGTAAGTCCCTCAACCCTACAGGTCTGGTTGGCCGGCGCTCTCCATGCCTTTAGCTGGGAGGACAGTCAAGTGACCAAGTGCCAGCCAAGGCCAAGTCAGCATAACCCTGAGCAGGAAACTGGGACCACAGGCCTGTCCTAGTCACCCAGGCACTTCCTTTCTCAGCCTCCAACGTTAGAGATCACCGAAAGACCCGCCCACTTTGTTTCTCCAAAGGATCCGGAAGATGGCTAAGCTTTCTGTGAGAGGGGAATGGTTACTGATTCATAACCTAGGGGCCTCTTAAAAAGTCACTTAGTCCTAGCTTGTTAACTTTTTTAAGTTTTTTAAGTTTTAAGATTTAAGATTCTCATTTTAGAAGTAAAAGTATGCTCTTACAAAGCATTTTGAAAGCATGTAAAGGTACAAAGGATGGGGCACCTGGCTGGTTGAGCATCCAACTCTTGATCTCAGGGTTGTAAGTTCAAGCCCCATGTGGAGATTACTTAAAAAATAAAATCTTAAAAAAAAATTACAAAGGAAAAATTAAGCACAAAAATTACCTATCATCCCACAATCAAGGGGGAATAAGCCTTGTTGACAATATTAACAGTGCACGTCCTTCCCTTGTTTTTTCTGTTAACATGAACTTCTTGAGCTGAGGAGTGCCTGAAAGGATACTTTCTAACTAAAACAGAAATCCCCTCAACAACATTAGTGGACACCTACTTGCTAGCAGTCACTAGCGAGGGGGTACAGAGATGGCTAAGACACTGAGGGAACTCTCTAGAATTCACAGGCTAGATGGGAAGATGCGTCATGTGGCCAGAGAGCTGTGAGAGCCATCACTGAGCATTTGCCTGTGCACCAGACTGTGCAGAGGGCTTGATTTGCCCCAAACAACCACTCAAGTGAGGGATACTATTCCCATCCCATTTACACAAGGACCCAAAAGGTTAATTACCTCCCCACAAGGGCTGGGAAGTGGGAGGGCCAGGCTTAATCCCAAGCTACTGTGACTCCTGAACACACCCCTTCCTCCCGAGTCCGGGGTTGGGGGGGGTGGTGAATATAAACCCTTTCTGCCTCAGAAGGTTAGTCCAAGGACACCGAGAAGATGCACAAATCGCTCCACAGGTGGCGGGGGTGGGGGGAACTTCAGTTTTCTCACTGTAAAGCCAGAGTGATAACAGTGCTCCCCTGGGGCTATGGGGGTCTTCACAGAGCCAGTGCACATGGAAATACTCATACCTGTGCCCCACACCCAGAAAACGCTCAGTGAACATGGCGGGGGCGGGGGGGGGGGGGTGTTGCACGTGATCCCCACCCAGGAGCTACTTTCTGGAACAGGTGTCAGCTGAAGGGAACTTAAGACCAAACTACCCACCAGCCTCCTGGACAAAGAATCACCTGCCTCACACAGCAGCTTCTTCCATTCTGTAGTTTGCAAAGTGCCCCCCTCACCTTCCATTGTCCTCCGTCCTCAACAAACTCCTAAAAGAACCAGGGAGTGGGGAGGGAGCACAGGTTAAGATGAGCACAGGAAGTCCTAGCTTACTTGTTTTTGAAAAACTATTTGAGCCTCTCCCCTTTGACTGCTGGGGTGCGTGTGGGTGTCAGCAGGTCCTGACCAGGGCCCTCCTGCAGCGAGAGGCCAGTCGCCCACTGTCCTCTGCCCCACTGACACCATTCCTTACATGTACGGCCACCTCATCTCGCTGCTCCTTCGAGTCAGTGTGGACAGGTGACGAGCAGAGGTCTGTGCCGATGTCTGTGCATGGCCCAAGGCTGCACATGGAGGAGTGGAAGGGAGCCAGGACTAAACTTGGGCTTTTCTCCGCAGAGCACACTTCTCTGCAACAATTCATCCAAGCACGACTAGGTGGTTAGATCAGTGGGTTCCCAGCTCTGGCTCAACATCCATGTCGCCTGGTGGGGTTGTTTGTCGCCTGGCTTGAACAGGGATCCTTGCTTCCTGATTCCTTAGGTCTGGGTGGGAACTCGTCTACAGTTTCTGAAACCTTCCCAAGGGTTCTGGGACCTTCCCAAGGTTCAAGGACCAGGGTTGGAATAGAAGTGTTCTAGCAGCTTTGAGAAGGGCCCTGTCTCTGCCCGTACCCACTCTGTTCTCTCTGGACTCTTCAGGCCTGGGGGAACCATGGTGACCTACGGGGGAATGGCCAAGCAGCCTGTCATAGCCTCTGTGGTAAGCTGGTGGGGGAGGCAGACGTGGACACAGGCCTGGACCCCACAGTTGTCCAGACCCACAGAAGCCCTTGTCCCTGGAGGGAGTTTATACCTCCAGCAGAGCCTGAAACGCTGGCCCTCAGAGCCCCAGCTTGTCCTTCTTGTGTCCACAGAGCCAGCTCATTTTTAAGGATCTCAAACTTCGAGGCTTTTGGTTGTCCCAGTGGAAGAAGGACCACAGTCCAGGTGAGTGGATGATGACCCCATCACCAGGGGCCACACAAGAGGGCAGTGCTTGCTGTAGAAGTGACCCGCCATCCTCAGGCCTGGAGAGGTGATGGGCTCCCTGCGCCCAGGCAGGCTGAAGGAAAATAGCCTCTAGCCATAGCTGCAGTCAGCCAATAGGTGGCAGCAGTGAGCAAGGCACACACTGTCCCCATCCTGAGCGGCTGCCCCTGGGGAAGACAGCCATGTACAGCGAACAAATTCTGGAGCCAGTCTGCCTGGGTTCAAATCCCACTCCCGCCATCACTGGGGATAGGCTTACCCAGGCTAGCCGTGGGACCTGGACAAGTTACTTGACTTCTGTCTCAGTTGAAATATCACAGTTGTCTAGATATTGTTGGCCTTTGAGGAGGAAACTGAGGTTCAGAGTGGTTAGATAGCTTGCCCAGTCTCCCCATGAAGGGAGTGGTACAGCCACAATGTAAACTCATCTCTTTGACTCCAGAACCTGAGCCAGTCCACCAGCCTTCCTCTCCTGGAGGACTGGTGGCCCAGAGTGTGACCCCACCCCTGCCAACGCTGAGACTGAAGAATCACATGGAGTCATCCAAGTGAAGGGGAGGAAAGTGGTGGCATCAGTGGCATGTTTCAGGCCGGAAAAGTAGCCTATGCAAAAGCCCATCATAGAGAGTGGGGGCCTAGACAGATAGGTTGTGACCTGATTATGAGAAGCTTTACAACCCTTCCTAAGGAGCTCAGACTCTATCTTAATGGCAAGTGAAGAGCCACCAAAGCAGTCTCAACAGGGGACATGATTAGATTTGAATGTTGCATGAATTGATGTCTATGAAAAACCACTTCTCAGCTGAGGCCTTCACTTCTCATCTTCCTGGACCATAGAGGGGTGCAGGCCCTGGGAGGGGATGCTGGGGACCTCAACTCGGGGGATTCTAAGGGAGTCCTGGGCTCTCAGAGAAAGCTGCTTTCCCTGAGCAAAGCTCATCAGTTCCACATCAGCTGGCATGCCAGGCACACCCATGCCCCCGCCAGCCCTCAACCACCCACCTCCCTTCCCTGTGCCTCTTCTAGCTGCCCTGCCTCAGTATTCCTGCCCCTCCCACTATTCAGGACTCTCGGTTACTCCCCAGTCAGGTTCTGTGGGTCAGAGCCCTCATTGCCACCACTCTGCCGGCCCACCAGCTCCTGGGGCCATTCCCCACGCTCCTCTGTCCTACCCCACCAGGAACCAGGTTGCCTCCACAACCTCCCTACCCTTGGTCAAGCCTGGGCTCTTGAGGCTTTCCTGGAGTTTAGTGCCAGCTCCTGCCACCGGAGGTGGCCCATGGTGTGTCTTGCTGTGCCCTGCCACCACACCCCATCTGACTTCCTCAACTTCCCACAGCCCAGTTCAAGGAGCTGATTCTCACGCTGTGTGGTCTCATCAGCCGAGGCCAGCTCACAGCCCCTGCCTGCTCCGAGGTCCCACTACAGGACTACCAGCGTGCCTTGGAAGCCTCGATGCAGCCCTTCGTGTCTTCAAAGCAGATTCTCACCATGTGCTAATCACAGAGGAGCCAGAGCGAGGTGGGAGGGGAGACGGATCAGCCGGACTGGTTTCTGGCGCCTCGGTCAGGGCCCCCTCAGCCTTCTGTAGGCCGTCCTCTCTTCCAACTGGGAGGGTTGTGCAGCCAGCCAAGGCTTGCCCCAGGGCCAGCCCCAGGGTGTCTAATAAAGTGAACTTCCGAAAAACAAACACATACAAACCCATAGAAGTCATCCCTGTCAAGAAGGACCCTCATTGTGCACCTGCTAAGAAGCCCCCTTGCCCGTCCTCCACTTGTCCCCCAGCGATGATTTCCTGACCACCTGGAAACAAAGCAAGGGTGGGCACTGGCAGGTACAAAAGCCAGTAGGACACAGTCTCCACCCTCAGGCTCTCTGCAGAGGAGCAAAAAGGAACATGTGACTCACTCTGGGTGATGTTTGGCGTCAGTCTGGGGCAAGAGGAGGATCAGCTACACAGGAGAGAGAATGTCAGGCTAAGGAGCCAAGGAGGTGGGCACTCAGGTCGCCGGACCAAGCTACGGAATGCCTGTTCTAACTGGGGAGATGGTTGTTACACCAGTGCTTCTCAGCCCCAGTCATTTTACCCCCAGGGGATGTTTGACAGTGTCTGGAGACATTTTTAGTCATCACTGAGATGGTGTTATTGGCATCTAGAGGGTAGAGGTCAGTGATGCTGCTCAAACATTTTGTGGTGCACAAAATAGCCTTCCCCAACGGAGAATTACCCAGCCCAGAAGGTCCCTGATGCTGCGGCTGAGAAACCCAGCATTAAACTAAGATTCCTACAACAACTACTGTGGGGATTCAAATGCTAAGCATGTGCGTGAAACACTGAGACCATCACTGATCAGGGTCTTGTCCTAGGCCTGTGGTCAGGGGAGTCTTCCTGACCTGAAGCTTGAAAGTTGGCTCTGAAAATGAATAGCTTTATTCAGAAGAGAAGAGTTTGACATTATATAACTTTCCATGTTTGCCTTATGATCCACTCATTCAGAGCAAAAAACTAGAGACTTCAGAATGTATTTACTGGATACTTAGTATGTGCCTGAGGCTAGGGATGCTGGTGGTGGGGGAGAGGGGACTGGCCCTCTAGTTGCTTAGCCCAGAGCAGGAGACAGACCTTCCCAGGATATAATGAGGCCACTGACTCGGGTATTCAGAGGGCAGTGGGGACACAGCAGCTCTGCCTGAGGGTTGAAGGAAGGCTTCATGGAGGAAGTGTCATCCACAGTAAATCTTAAAGGCCAAGCAGGAAAACATACCGAGTGAAACCAAGAGCACATATGAGATTTTGGAGGGCTGGGAGCCTGGCTCTGCCCCCTGAGACAGGAGAGTGTGAGGACTAAGGTGGGACCTGTGAGCAGAGGTCAGAGCAAGAATGTTCGAGAAGTCAGCACTTACCCTCCAGAGCAGGGGAGGCACAGAGGGATTTTCAGCAACAGAGTGTTGTGGGAAAACTGGCTCCGAAGGCCAGAGTGCGCTCAGGCTTAGTTGCACGCAGACACGTAGACAGGCCCCCAGCATAATGCTTTTGCCTTTGGGAGCACCTTCTGTGTCCTCTGGAGAAAAGGACTCCTCTTCAGCCCAGGGTTGGGGAAGGTCCGCAGGTGTCCTCTGGATAAGAGTTGCTACCTTGCGCACCTAGGCTCAGGATCAGCCCCAACCTGCCCAGGTCTCTCCTGTCCCCTGTCCTCTATCCTTGAGTTTAGTGGGACAGCTGACTGTGTAGATGGTCAAAATGGGCAAGTGCAAAAAGCCTGAGAGGGTGGGAGAGGCTGCCCAAAGTTTACAGGAGTGAACAGTTCAGATTCAGTTCTTCAGGGGGAGTCCACAATGTTGGGCTTCGGGGGACCGATGAGCCTGCAGCCATGGGAAGGGAGCAGCCCCTGGTACAGACTCAGAGGAGGTAGACAGGAAGGAGGAAGATTCCTAACATCGTGGTTAGAGACCCCATGGAGGGATGTGCAAAATGTCCTGAGAATGTAGCTCTAGGGGTCTGGAGATGACATTTGGGCTGTGCTTTAAAGGCTGATTATAGTTTTCTCAGGCAGGGAAAGGAGACAAGCATAAACCAAGGGACCAGATTAAGCTAAGTTATAGAAGCAGGACGTTTATGTTAGAATCTTCTCATTTCCCCCCAAATATCCATTCTCTTCCTGAGAATGCTGACAACTTTTAGGTCGGCACATGGTGGCTGGAATAAACAGGTTTCCTGCTTTCCTTGCAGCAGACAGGTCTGTCACTTGTCATGCAAACAGAAGTGGTAGGTGTCAATTTATTAAGAACCTCTAAAATATAGCTGGCCTCCATCCTGTACCTTTTTCTTCCCTTTCTACCTTCCTCCCGGCTGGGACATAGGCCTGATTCCGGGACTTTGCGCAACCATCTTTGACCATGTTAAGAATGGGTCAGTGACAAGATCCAAGAAGCCTGGGTCCCCAGTACCCAGAAGTCCTAACTGGCCACCTCAGGATTTGTTTTACATAAGAAACAAGCTTCTGTGTTATTTAGGTCCCTAGTATTTGGGCTTTCTCTGAACTTGATTATAACTGATACATATTCTCTGGTTTAATTTATGTTGAAATCATTCATGCTGAAGCTGAAAGAGTGAATGGTGGCAGTTTATGATTCCCCACTAAGGAATTTGAACTTTATCCTATTGGTCATAGGCAACAAAAGATTTCTGAGGCAGGAAATGAGAACTCTGCTTTGGGGGGAAAAAAAAGTTCCTCAGGCAGCAGGTTAGGGGACAGTTGGGAGAAGGGAGACACTAACAGAAGAGAACATCAGAAACTCCCAGGCTTCTGAATTTCAAATAAGGAAAATCCCCTGAAACTTCAAAGACCAGCATGGGGATTACCAGCATTTCAGAGGCCAGCACAGAGAGGAAACTGTGACAAGACCGTAGGAAGAATCAAACTTCAGATGGATCATCTCTTGCACACTTTCCACAAGTACGGAGGCTATTTTTCATTTTCAGGCCGAATAATTTCTCTATGGAGTGGGGACAGCTCTTCAGGCCCACTAAGTAAAATCCTTCTTAAATGGCTAGAGGAGGAACCCAGGGCTCCAGGGGACTGAAAGAAGACGAACAGGCATTACCTCCTAAACCAAAGCTGGGGCACACCTGATGCCCGGAGGCTTCATGACTCTGGCGCTCCCTGCTTGGTGTCTTCTGGGAGCTTCCATCCTGCAACTACCTACAGCCACTGCCATAATATTGATGACTGCTTTGTGTCTTGGGAGATGAGATAAATAAGCCTGCTTTCCTCAGGGAAAGACTTGAGGCCCGGAAGAAGGTTCTTGAATTCATCTGTGTGGAGCAGGCAGGCCTGTCCTTGTGCCTGGAAGCTCTTGGCTGCATCTACCAGCCTCATACTTGTTGGTAGGCACCTTGCCCTGGGGAAGACACTGGGCCCAGCCAGAGCAGCTGGGAATGGTAAAGAAGACAGACTCAGGCCTGGGACGGCATCTGCCTGCATTTGCAGGCAGGAAAATCCTGGGAAGACAGCAGAGCTGACCTAAAAGGTAAGGAGACATTCACACTCCCTGAAAGAAAAACAAGCTTTCCCTATGCCCCAACACTTTGCAGTGTATAAGCCTTTTTACGTGTATCTCCATTTGATTTTTACAACTTCCTTGTATCATTGAGATTTTAATTAATACCATAATTTTACAGAAGACACCAAGAGAGGCGAAGTGAGTTGCTCAAGGTCACACAGCAGGCAGCAGATCAGGCACCAGAAGCCAGCTCCCCTGACCCTGTCTGGTCACCATACCAGTCAATCCTGATTTTTTTTTGGGGGGGGGGCCACAATTGGCCCTGTGCTCCCTCTTTTCTCTGGACTCCTTGATTTTGTACAATGATAATTAGCATGTCAATCAGAAGACAGTTCAAATTTCCCTGAGTCTGTGTCTCATGGGGAGGCAGGAAAAAAGAGAATCAGGTGGCCACTGAAGTCATTCAGGTAAGAGATCATTTGTTTATTCACTTAATAAACATATTGAATACCCACTATGTGAAAAGCACTGTTAATAGATGTTAGGGATATAGTAGGAGACAAAAAACACAGCCCCTGATACCAGGGAGCTTATATTCTAGTAGAAGAGAAAGACCATGAACAAAAAGAAATAAGGCAATTACAGAGTGTGGTAGATGCTGTGAAGGAAAAAATACAGTGATACCATATTGACAGGATACTTGAGATAAGGAGGGCAAGGAAGGTCTGAGGCCTGAGAAGGGGCCAATCATTACAGACAGAGGGAAAAGCACAGCTAAAAGCCCTGATGTATGAGCAATATGACAAGACCTGCACTCGCTTAGGAAGTGGGAGTGAAGTGGATGGATTCGGCAACATTTAGAAGGAAGGACCAACTAGAGGCGGTTGAAGGTTGAACTTCAGCACTTTGCCGGATGGAAGGTGCCACTCCCTAAATTAGGAAACTCTGGAGGAGGAGCAGGATTTAGAGACAGGCATTTTCCCTGTATGGGGCTTTCATTCCCATCTGTATAACAGATGTAGTCTGATCACAGACTAAGTGACATAGACACAGACTACCTGACATCCAAGGTTAGAACCAGTTCTTAAGAATATTATGATCCTCATACTACTAAATTCCAAATGGATCAAAGATTGCAATATAAAAAAGTAAGTCCTAAAAATAACAGAATAAGCCATGGGAGGTGTTTTTCTTTTTAAATCTCAAAGTGAGAAAAACTACAACACAAAATCCAGAATCAAAGAAAAATAAAGGGTGGATAAATTTGACCCCATAAATATCTTATGTTTTTGCATAGCAGAAAACATTCTGGGAAAAGTCAAAAGTCAACAAACTAGGAAAAAATACTACTCATCTAACAACTGATTTCGCTAATATATAGGGAGCTCCTATGAATCAGTAAAAAAATGGGCAAAGGGGGAGGCTGGGTGGCTCAGTCAGTTAAATATCTGACTCTTGGTTCCAGCTCAGGTCGTGATCTCAGGTAGCGAGACTGAGCTGAGCCCTACATTGGGCTCCTAACTCCGAGGGGAGTCTGCTTGAGATTCTCTGCCTCTGCCCCCGCTGCCCCCACCCCCCCATCGATTTTGCATCCTCTATCTCTCAAATAAATCTATAAAAGGGGGAGGGTGGCTCCTGGGTCACTCAGTAAGTTGAGTGGCTGACTCTGGATTTCGGCTTAGGGTCCTGGGATCAA